CTTTGTCGTACTCGGAGGAGTGGTGACTAGAGAGTACATGCCAGACGAAACGACGGTGGCTCCATACGGGGGATTGTCGGGTTCTTATGGGTGCATTAACTAGAAATTGGTTGGAATTGGAAGTAACTGTAAGCGAGGGAGGGAAAGGAAAAGCAAAAAGTTTTATGCGTTCGTGCTCCACATCCGTGAAGCACTTCACTCGCTCAAGAAGACACATAAAATTACTAGCTTTTCGGTGTTGAAGGAAAGAGGCTTTAAACCTTCATCGACGCCAACACACTGGCAGGGGGAGCAGCATGGAAAGCGAGGCTCCACACCCTTCTCCGTGGGCTTTAGGAATCGAAACCGGACCAAGCTCGCACACAAGCCTGCTACCAAGCAGGAGCAAAAAAAGGAATATGTTGAATTGGGACAGGAAACCATCATAAGCCAGCCAACAAGCAAAACGAGTTCTCATTCACGGATAACTAAGCTTTGACAAGGGAGAGGGGGACCAAACCATTAGGAGGAAGAAGCAGATGGAAGACAGGGTCACTTGTGAAAGAACTAGCCGAAGGGGACCATCACAGTTGGGGCGGTGGATGACAGGCTAGCTCACCAAGAACATCAGGAGAGGTTGGGGAAGACTTGGCTGCGGCAAGTCAAGGAGAGGTTAGGTCAAGGGATTTCAGACAGAAGTCCCATCAATCAGAAGAAAAGGATGTTCCAGGAAAGAAGGAAACAAGGATATCCAAAAGAATAGGCCTTGAAGGAAGGCATGAATGAGGGGAGACCGGTCTAAGGGCTGCAAGATATGCTACAAGGTTGAATCAGTCCACTAAGGGATGATCTTATACATGATTTCAGCGAAGTGTTCAAGTCAAGGACTTAGGCGATCAAAGAAAAGAAGACTTGAAAGAAAAGCCTTCTATCCCACAGCTAAGGCATCCATCCAATACAGAGAGAGCGTCATATAGAATAACTCTATCCTTTGGAAACCACCTATTCCTCTCATCGACTACCTTCACTAGGGTCAAGATTCATGGTTAGGGAAGGATCAGGTCTTTTCGAGAGCTTATTGACCCGCAAAAATAAGCTTTGTGACCGATTTCTTTGAGTCAGCTTCTTTTCCGTGCGTGATAGAGCGTGAGGTTCGAGAGCTGTACGAACAAATGCTTTATTCGATCACTTTTCGCTAGCCTTAGTGAGTGATGAGATAGCGTATGATCCGTGCGCTAAGCGAGCAGCAAGCATTTTCTACTTCAACAACTTCTACTTATAGCTTAGCAGTTTTGTCTTTCAAAATTTGCTTTTCTCTTTTCTTTTTCTTTTAGATGATGACAAACGAACTGAAAACTGCGAATGCTTCTAATTAATTGAATCTTTTTTTAGAATCCAATTTTCTTATATATATAGCAGAGTGATGTCTTTATGACAATTCGTCAAGTAAACCTGCGCCCAAAGTGCTTACGTAGCCGGTCACCGTTTGGCTAAGATCCTTGATGACTGATTCATAAACCACTAACGCTTTCAGTCTTGTGTTAAGTGTTCGCATAGCGACTAAGGTCCTAACAACTTGATGTCAGACTGTTCAACATGAGGGACATCTAACTCCTCTAACACAGATAACATAAAGACTAGGATTAGATGCTTAACATAACGACTCGTATGCTTTCACGAAAGATAGAGGAGCGACTCCGGAGAGAGACATCTAACAACTCGACTAGAGCGGATCCCGAGACTTCACCCCTTCCTTTAAACTGTTGGGCACTACATTCTATAAAAAGAAAGTGAAAATGAAAGGTAAACAAAAGAGAGAACAAATGCGACAGAAAGCGTCAGAGCTTCGAAAGCCTGAAATTGAGCTTGAAATTGAGTGTCCTTGAATTGAGCCTGTCGTATCCTTCCCAACCCAAGACGACAAGGCGGTAACGGAACTACGGCAACTCCGGAACGCATCATGCGGTTTCTTTCAACGCATGGGTTATGGCCTAGGAGAACTCATGCGACTATTGGCGTTGGGGAAGCCATGCGTTAGGTAAACCAACCGCACATTTCAAGCGAAGGAGTGAAAGCTACTCGACTGTAATGGTTGGAGAGGACCTACAACGAGTTGCGGTTGCTTCGCAAGCAATACTCGACGGTATAGCGCATGCGTCTCATCGTCTTGGGAGCACTCGTAGTTGTTTGAGTCGTTGCGTTAGGGCAATACAACTACGAGAACCAGTCGTCCTAACGCTACTGTCAAACCTACTTACGTTGTCCTTATTACCACTCGTCGGGTAGTTGTTCCGTAACACCACTAGTCGTTATAGCACTAGTCCTTTTTGTTCGGCGTTAGGGGGCCCCACGAGTCGTCGCTAGCGTCATCGGTTGTTTTGAACACAGATCGGTCACACTACTGGTTGTTTGGAACGCTAAGGCCGAAAGGCAGGCGGTCGGGAACACTAAAGGCGCTTGCTCTGGGCGCTAGGGGCCGTTGCTCACGCAAGCGAAAGGGTGTTTTGGAGCACTAAGGGCGACTAGTGGTTGCTTCGCTCGACAAGACTGAAACCTTCGCTTGCACCACTAGAGTCGTTCCGGCACTTTGAGTTGTTACCAATAGTAGTGTAAACAACATCCCCGAAACTAGCGCATGCGATATCCCTCGGTGTCTTTATGGTAACCAGCATGCGTTAGGGAAAGAGTATAGCAAGCCGAAGGCGATCCCCATAACTACAGGTGCTGGGGATCGTTTGCCATAAGGCTCTAACGCACGTCGTTATGGCGCTTTGGAACACTGCCGATCGCCACCTCTTGCAAGCAACCGTCGGTCACAAATGGGAATAATCATACGCTATCATAGGCGCTTCTAATTTCTTTGGAGATTCTCAATGCAGCATGCGCTGAAATCCGCCTAGCTACTTACTACTCTACAACACTTAAAATAAAAAATGAAATGGAATTCAAATTGGTCGAGAAAAAGAACCGCGCTAGTCGGAATTTGGGGAAAGATAGAGAGCTCTCTAGGCTCTCCTGATCAAATTGAGAGTTCGCTTTGCCAGTCCATGAATATGCCGCACCCAGCAGTTCGAGGAGTTGGCCAGATACGGGTCGAAGCCCTGCCTCGAAAAAGTCAGGACTTTTGGGCAGATTCCAGTATCCGACCCATCTCTTTCTGCCGATTCCCCGGGTTGTCGGAATCTCTGGTTCGATCAGGACCAGGAGTCCCATTCATTCGTTTATGGGAGCGACTCTCTGTTCCCATTCTCCACCGGGTCATCAAGTAATTAGCCAGCTCAATCCATTTTTCCATCCGATGATCTTCACCCTAGGACTGACTCTGTTCGACCTGCCTTGATTGCCTAGCTAATGCTACCGTCGCAAGCAACCTCTCAAAGAATAGGGAGTGAACGACCCTTCTATCTAGATCGGTGATTCCGTTCGGCCGAGCCAGCTATCGAAAGTCTTGCAAGCAACCTACACTAAGCTAAGCGAGCTAGAAGCTAAAGTGAATCTTTTTTGGCATCTTTTTCTTTGCTTTGACCGCGACTTTGTTTGGTCTTCCTCTTTCCTTCGGCCCATCTTTCAAAGCTAGCAAAAAGTTCGAGCCTTCGGGATCTCTCTTGAACGGCGGTCGGTCAGTCCTTTTCTTCTGTTGATGCTGAGACTGATGCTTTGACTGTCTCCCATATCATTCGATAATAAAGATCCACTACTTGCCTTGTCGACGCTAAACTCAGTACCTCGCTTCCTTACTAGTACACCTACTAGACCCATACTCATTACGAATGTGTTCACCAGACATCTGACTTAGCAACCTTCTGCTTAGACCGGCAACGATAAGGAAGGAGATCTATGGATAATGGGATATAGAAGTCAGGTGCGACGGTCAGCTCAGTCAGAGCGGAAGCGGTCAGGCAAGGTTATCGTCAGACAATGTAGTGCAAGCGACGGGTAGCGCTTGCCATATGAAGAAGGCGACTACAATGGGAGACGAAGGCGACGTGGGCTTGCCATATAGATGTAGCGCTTGCAAGGCAATTCAGACGACGTTAGCAAGATGTAGCGCTAGCTAGGTTAGGGTAGCGCTTGCCATAAAGAAGCTAGCCAGAAAGCAGGTCAGGCAGGCGAGCGATAGTACAAGCAAGCTAACACGCGGGCGAGGTTGAAGGGGTCTTGCGCAACCTTCGGATTATCGCAAGCGCAACCTTTGACCCCTTCGTCGACAACCTCTCATTTGTTCGACTACTCGCGGGGCCTGCTGCGTTTAGGTATAAGAAGCCCCACCCGGGAAAAGAGTGTAAAGCAGTACTCATGTTAAATTGTGTCCCTTGTAAACGAAAGAGCTCATGCCATAAATTGCTAATGAAGACCGGGTCCCCAGTCGCTGACAATTGAGTGTGGCATTCCATGCAATGAATATATCAGTCAATGACGTTGCCAAGGTAGATGTTTTTCTTTGCCTTTCAAGATATTGCGTATAAAGAGAAAGATAGCCAGTCCTCTTGGGCGGCCGAGAGTGTTATGTAAAAAGGACCAAGGAGGATCCTATCCTAAAGGAGAAGGAGGAGGAGTAGGAGCTAGCTTTAGGGGCGGAATCGAAGCGAAGAAATTAGTTCATGCCACGACGATCTATATGGAAGGGAAGTTTTGTTGATGCATTCCTCTTGAGAATGAAGAAGAAGAGAGATCCTCTTTTTAACAGGAAAATTTGGTCACGTAGATCTTCTATTTCGCCGGAATTCGTTGATTGCTCCGTACGAATTTACAATGGAAAAACTCCTGTTCGTTGTAAGATTACTGAAGGAAAGGTTGGTCATAAATTTGGAGAGTTTGCTTCTACACGGAAACGAAGACCTTCGAGAACAAATATTGGACCGGGAAGAAAAAAGGGGAAAAAGTAAAGTCTAAGCGCATATGGCACGAAAAGGAAATCCTATTTCGGTAAGACTTGATCTGAATCGTAGTTCAGATTCAAGTTGGTTTAGTGAGGGCGACCGCGAAAGTCACCGAATGGGTCAGTCTTTTAGTTCTCCCAGATTAGAATATCAAAGGAGGACGTTGCAGATGCCCGGGGCGGACACGACTTCTTCTAAGGCTAGAAGACCACTGGAAGACACCCAGGACTATAGCATGTCGTGAAAGAAGCACACTGGACGGGCGTGCTTCGACCGTGTCTCCGGGGCACAGTTGAATGTAGATATCATGAACGCGAGGTGCAGGATACCAGGCCGAGAAACCCGGGCAACCATTCCC